TTGGGATAGGGTTTAGGAGACAGAGTTTAGGGTTTGAGAGATCTTTGAGTCTTCTACCAGAGAACCCAATACCCCTTAATTGAGGAATAGACCTTCGATCATAATATTAAGGCCCCTATAGTTTAAGGTATATTCCCTAAATTAAGGGGTATTGGATTTTTTGGGTACGGCGTTCTTTCTGGTGTTCTGAGTGTTTTGGCGTCAAGCTGCTACTAGGGGCCTTGAAGCAGCTGGAGATCTCCCAGAACAGCATTAAGAGAGAGTGAAGGCTTAGGATTCGGGGGTTTAGGGTTTTAGGGCTTAGGGTTCAGGGTTTTAGGGTTCAGGGTTCAGGGTTTAGGGTTCAGGGCTTAGGGCCTAGGGTCTAATTAGGGTTCAGGGGTTTGGGGTTTAGGGTGTAGAGGTCGGGTTTTGGGTGGGTTTCACAGGCGCTTTGCCAGCATGTCATGGGCTGTATAGAGTTTCTTGGATTCAGGGTTTGTCGCTGCGGGTTTCGAGCAAAGCAGCTTTGGGATATGAACTCCCCTCTTCTTGACAAATTGGATATTCTTCGTGAAGGTGGTCGGCGATTTGTCAGGGTTCTGCTTCATGGACCATGCCTTCGTGTAGCTGTTCTTCATTGGTTTCTAGTACTGCTTTTGCTGTAGAGGTTGGTCCTTGCACTTTACGATTTGTAGGTTGTTTGTAAGGTTGACCGGTCTTGAGATGCTTAAGCCTTGCGGCTTATGAATCCCTCAGGCTTCAGGCTACCTGTACAGGCACTCTTGTAGTGCACGACTTTTTCACGGTTTTTCGAGATTCCCCAGGCTTGAGCTAGACCTGGCCGCTAGGTCGTTTATGTTTATGTTACAACTATCGGGTTTTGGTTCAGGTTGGGTTCACAGGCTTGAAGGCCGTCATTTTCGACCACTGACGCATTGACACCTTCGACATAGCATTCATGTAGCGCGGCACCCCAGCAGCCCCAACTTTTGATCGACCTGCAAAGCATCCATCTAAAGCCGCAAGGTTACAAGTAACTTACAAGGTACTTCACAGGTCGTGCCGAATCCTTATGGCAATTCTAAAGAACCTATAGAACACCCTTGTAGACCTCCGCACAGAAAGCTCTAAGCCCTACACCCCAAAAGCCGGTCCAGCGTGAGCTTCAGGAAAGCCGTCCTATGGCCGGTCGCGCTCGACCGGGTTTTTGAGGTTCGCCGGGCCTGCCTGACTGTCGTCTTTGTCTCTGCCTGGATGTTTTTTTAGTCCGTCCGTCCGTCCGTCGGTCGGTCTGTCAGTCTGCCTGTCGGTCTGTCTGTCTGTATTTATGCATGTATGTAGGCCTATATTCTATACGCATGAATGCATGGCCGGCACGTGAGCATGTGTGTGCCCACCTTGTGCGACCGTAGGTGCCCAGTTTACAACCCTGCGTGCAACTGCCCATGTGCGCTGATGAGGCGTCGTGCCACCGTGTGCTGAGTTGAGTAGACTCTCGCAGTGCATGTACAGCTTGCACACCGAGCCGATCGGCTATTTATCAGCAGTGGAGTCCCAGCCCCCAAAACCCTAAACCGTCAGTCTGGAAACCTGGACACCAAACATGGTGCCTTACCCTAAACCCCAAATGGAGAGCCTAAAACCTAAACTAAACCTTAAACCCTCGACGCTCAGCGAGAGATTGGGGCTGAATCCCTGGTCTCCAGAAGAAGTTGACTTTCAACCCCAAGTCCGTAAGTATCCTTGCACCCCGCCAATTCCGAAAACAGCCTAGATCCCAAGAATCTCTGCATCCAAGGCAACTCCTGGACTCCCTACATAATAACTTTGTGCAAAATCAAACCGCCCCCCAAAATACGTCAAGCACCCTGAACCCGAAACCCGAAACCCGAACTCAAGCTGAAATTGCCCTATACCCTAAACCCCAAGCCCTAAACCCTGAACCCTGAACCCTTGAACCCTAAACCTTAAACCCTGAACCCTGAACCCTAAACCCTAAACCCTAGCTGAATCCCTGTAGGACCTGGCCCTCCAAGCTAGAGATCCCGAAGGGCGTTAAGATCGCCCCTTTATCTTGGCCCTCTTGTTCGAGGATCAGGGTTCCCTTGTGCGGCCCTCATCGGGTTCAGGGTTCAGGGTTTAGGGTTCAGGGTTTAGGGCTTCAGGGTTCAGGGTTTAGGGTTTAGGTTTCAGGGTTTAGGGTTTAGGTTTCAGGGTTTATGGTTTAGGGTTTGGGGTATGGGGTATAGGGTTCAGGGTTTAGACAAGAAAGAGCCCTTGCTTGGAGGTAAGTACCATGGTTACTCTAGGTAGGGTTTAGGGTCATGGTTTTGTGGTTCTGAGTGCTTCGCGAGGTCGGTTCTAGTCGGGGCCAGAAGTGCTCGAAGTAGGTTTGCTTAACCCTGCACACAGCCCTAATACCGCGGCTGGAATTTTGGCGAAAATTGTACTTTACATCGAAGGGGAATAGTTACTCCGACCGCTAGCGAAAACCAGCAGGCCTGTGTCGGCATCGTTTCCCTAGGCCCTTAACCCTACAATCTTAATCCACCAAGCCGGGTTATCAACTTTTTCCGTTATACCGGCAAGTGCAGGGTTTAGGGTCTAGAGTCTAGGTTTAGGGCTCAGAGTTTAGGCTTTACGGCTTTACGGCTTTACGGCTTTACGGTTTAGGATGGTTTAGGGTCTAGCGTCTAGGGTTTCGGGCTCAGAGTTGAGGGTGCAGGATCTAGGCTGGCGCCCTTGGTCCTCCAACCTTGGCCCTTGCAAAAGCAAGGCCAGGCGCAAGCCAGGATTGGTTTCAAGTTTTCGCGTCGCGTGATGGGAGAAAGGAGATGAGGTGGAGGGTTTAAGGATACTACGAGAGGGCGTCAAGGGTTCCGTGGTTGTTCTATGAAGGTTCTACAACGTTTAGGGGTTGAGTGATCTGGGAGGTAGTGGGTTGTGGGGTTTACGGTTTTATGGTTGAGTGCTTGATGGTGTTTGGGTTTAGGTCTCCAGGGGTAGGTCTCCAGGGGTAGCCATGAGGGTTGTTCCAAAGGCCCGGAGGCAGCATGGGAAATACATCTCCCTATAAGGAAGCCCAACCAAAAAAGAGAGTCTCCTTCCTCGTGGCGGGTTTCGGGAAAGGTCCCAGTATAAACTATAGCAAAACACCCGTAGGGATGATGCAGGTGATCATTGAGATGGAGGCTTCCCTGTTCGAGCTACCACTTCAGGTCTATGAAGGTGCCCGTGTCTTCTGAGAGAGCTCCAGCATTTGCAAACCCTAAACCCTAAACCTTAAACCTGAAACCCTGAACCCTAAACCCTGAAGCCCGAAGCCTTAGGGTTTAGGGTTTCGGCTTTTCGGGATGACACCTCCTAACACCCTAAATATTTGCTACGCCAGTCTGGGTTTCTTTGGAACACGCCTTGATCTCCGTACTTCCGTGAACGACGACTGCGGTGTAGTTTCGGACTCGAACTGTTCTGCAGCCTCCGTGCCAGGCAATGGCTGCCGGGGTGCGAGGAACAGTTCCTAAACAACAAAGGTCCAATCGACCACTTAAGCGTGGCATCTTTCATCTAAGTAAGGATATAGTCGCACTGACGTTACGAAGAAGGCCATGTGTTGTCTGCCAAGTATTCCGCAAGAGCTTCAGTTCTGAGCCGGAGAGCACCGGAGAAGACACACAAAGCTGTGGAACTCGACTTCCTGATAATTATATACAGCCTCCTGTAGCTCTATGTGGATTTATTATCATAACCCCACCGGTCCTAAATATCAAGGCCAACATGTGCTACGGCCGGAGACGGGAGACGTGGAGCATGTGGCTTTGGGTCGTTCCTCCTCGGAGGATCAGCGAAAACTTAGCTATAGACAAGGTGAGCCGGGTTCGGGTGGTCGCAATCCCTGCTACATTGCGAGGCCCTTAGAAACCCTAAAGACTGAGCTCTAGACCCTAACTCCGGAACCTGCAACCCTGAAGCAAGACAGCACGAGGGGGTCACAGCAAGCGTTCACATATGCCGACTTATTCCTCGAAGTCGTTCTCGTGTTCAGAGACTTGTTCTTGGGGAGAGGATAGCTAGGGTTCTTCCACTACGGGTTGCTGAAACCAGCGGGCTCTTCGTCTGTATGTAAGTTTTAAACCCTAAACCCTAAACCCTAAACCCCAAGCCCTAAACCCTAAACCCCAAGCCCTAAACCGTAAACCCTAAACCAACTACCAAGATTATCAAACTCAATTGGACCTTCCAGGCTTCTTGCCTCTTGGCAGAGACTCCGAGCTCGTACCTTGTTAGTGAGTTTTCAGGTTTGAGGTTTAGGGTTTAAGGTTTAGGGTTCAGGGTATAGGGTTGGATTTTTAGTGTTTAGTTTAAGGTTTAGGGTTCCGGGTTTAGGGTATAGGGCGTATAGGGTGTAAGGGTTTAGGGTTTAGGGTTTAAGGTTAGGGTTCAGGGTTCTCCATGGCATATCCTACTAGAGCGGAGTTTCGAGTTTGGAGTCTTCAAGCTTCTGCTGCGATCTCCAGGGTGAGATCTGCGCGGAGCCTCAGCACCAAGCCACAAGTGAAGAGCTGTTGCAGAGCCTTTCCTAACGACTCTGACTCCAGCGATGCTGGCCGTAAAAAGCCTCCGTTGAGTGCCGCTTGGATTGGGCTTCGAACGTGGCTTCGCAAAATCGGGCAATGGTCACGGTGCTACTTGCATTAAGCATGCTTCATCTATCTTGCCATACTTGTCAAAAGTGCGCGTACCATGGACGTAGAAAGAAGGGCATTAAATGGATTCATCTGGAAGCCTTGACGCACCTTCCGAGCGAGTCAAAGGCTCAATCAGAGGACACACATCGAGCAGCACCCCTTTGCCTCAAGGCTCCTTTTGACAATGAGGCTTCATATATGGTTCTGCTTCTATGAGGGTTTTGAGTTTAGGGTTAAGGGTCAAGTAAACCCTAAACCCGAAACCCAAAAGGGTCAGGGTTTTGAGTTTAGGGTTAAGGGTCACGGGAGTCCCGGGTGTTGAACCTTGCCATGGCATACGTTGATCCTCGAGTGGCGAGCTGGCAGGAACTGCTCGGAGAGGCGAACGATGAGACGGTCCCACCCGGTTTCCAAGTCCATGGGTTTCTGGGTCCTTGTTGAATAAAATTTTACACTTTTGTTATGATAAAACCCCAATAAGGATTAAACACGTTCATTTTTAGTATAGCTCCAACAGGGAACCAGGTTCATGGACCACCATCTGAACGGAGTGTATATTCGCAGTCGCGAGACGACGCCCGGAGACAGGGCAAGGTATCACACCTACTGGTGCGTTTCCACTGGCACCTTCGCGTGGTGGCAAGAGAAGAAGCAACGCTACTGCGTGAGTTTTCCTACAGACCCGATCAATGGCAACTTATGGCAAAGAGTGAAGACAGGCGGGGAACTTACACCTTCCGTGCTAGCAACACGAACCACTATTACAAATAAAGTTTGAGTGGCACCACCAGCTAGTGGGGTAGTACCTAGAGGCTCGCATGTAGTTCTTGTTCGCGATAATTTGTTTTATGGTCAGGAGCCTACCATCAGAAACTCTGGTAGCAAACAGGTGTATTACAAGTTTGAGCCTAGGTATATCCAAATGGCAAGATCCCACACCCAGCGCCCTCAAACCCTAAACCCTAAAGCCTGAACCCTAAACCCTAAGCCCTGAAACCTAAACCCTACACCCTAAACCCCTAAACCCTAAACCCCTAAACCCTAAATCCCGAACCAAATCTGCTAGGAGAAGAATGGGCCGTGGCATGGTACCGCCCGATCTTTGCAGCGGATGGTTCGGTGGGCGACATGGAGGACAGCAGGAATAGGGTTTAGGGTTTAGGGTTCGGTTTAGGTTTTAGGGTTTAGGGGACAGATGTCTGGGGTACCCAGACCTTCCAAAATCTTTGGATTCAGGAATCTGTCCTTAAATCTTATTTGGAATCCTAGTGTAGTTTAGGGTATATTCCTGAATTACGAGATTTTGGAAGGTCTGGGGTAGAGGGTTTAGGGTTTAGGGTTCGGTTTAGGTTTTGGATGATATCCCTAGGGCCTCTAGGGTAGAGGGTTTAGGGTTTCAGGAGGGTTTTGGTTGAGGATTTAGGTTTAGGGTTTTAGGGTTCAGGTTCAGGGGTCAAGCGTGCAGGAATACCATAAGGCAGACTCCGGATAGTAAGATCCGAGACACAAGGACGCCTAATGTAAGGACACTGCTATTCTGAGTTGGTGATCAGGTACCAGGGGGTCTCTGGGTATGGTTGTTAGTACACGAAGTAGATGTGTTGTACTGCTCCTATTGTTTCCTCCAGCGGAGGTCGTGCATCCTAAACCCCAGGCACATAGAACCAAAACGCAGACCTTTGATGAGAGCACGGTTATCCTTAGATTCTGATGGACGCGAACGAGAATCCCTCACCATAGGACCGCTGGATGGAACTACACCCGGACACGGGCGTGCTGGAACTACACCCCAGAGGTTGGGGAAGGGATTTCTCAAGGTTTAGGGTTTAGGGTTTAGGGTTTAGGGGGTTTTGGGTTTAGGGTTTAGGGTTTAGGGGGTTTGGGTTTAGGGGGTTTTGGGTTTAGGGTTTAGGGTTTACACAATCGCTTCGGGACTGCACGGTCTGTGGGTACTATGCCCCAAGCCCTGGTTCAGCCTTTGAGGCCCTACAGTAAACACTTGTAAACCTCGGTAAAGGCTGCAAGCAAGCCCTAAACCCTAAACCCTGAACCAACCTTAGAAAGCCGGATTTCATATAAAAAACTTCTTAAACCCTGAGCCGGCGTTTGTTTGCCGGATTTCATAAAGCCCTCTTGATTCGCGAGCCAACCTTAGAAAGCCTTGCGAAAGCTCAAGAAACTCGCTGGCTTCAGGTGCCATCACCTACAACAAGCTCGACCGTCAGGAGGCCCCGGGATCAAAGATTGGGTTAGCATGAGGTTCCTAAATTCTAGGGTTAAGGAGGGTTTAGGGTTTAGGGCAGTTTAGGGTTTAGGGTTTAGGGCAGTTTAGGGTTAGGTCTAGGAATTAAGGTTAGTGTTCAGCGCCCGTACCCGAAGCCAAAACACTTGACTGACAGGCTGTAGCCTCGCACGCCGAAAGAGCCGTATAAATGAACCCAGAACTCTGCAGCAAGGGTTTGGGAATTAATTAGGGTGAACCCCTGTGTTCGGAATAATTAGCATACTTCAATACTTTTTTTTTCCCGGACCTGTTCCTTGAAGGAACCATGATGAAATAGCAGTTCATACTTTTTGTCCTTGGTTACTTCAAAGACCCTGAAGCCAACATCCTTAAACAAGCTTTAGAAACGCCCGACGAAGATCCTACAAACAGCTACAACAGCCCATGAAGACCCTACGACCCTAACCCTAAACCCTAAACCCGAAACCCTAAACCCTAAACCCTAGGCAGCCCCCAAGGTTTTTGCCTACCTGCGGGCCAGCATGGCGCCTCCTGAGCCGTCAGAGCCACCCCGACGGACCGCCACAAATCCCTACACGCCGCCGCCGCAAAGGCCAGGCAAAGAAGGGGGCGTGGGGTTTAGGGTTTTCCAGGGTCTAGGGCTTAGGGGTTTAGGGATTTAGGGGTTTAGGGGTTTAGGGTTTAGAGGTTTAGAGGTTGGGGATCCAGAAATTCGGGCTTTGGGTTTCTTGGAGGCTGGGAGTTCATGGTGTGGTGATGTTCATTTCTTTGGAGTTGGGCTTGAGGGATTTCAGGCTCCAGGATGCTATTCGGGGTTTGGGGTTTAGGGTTGTAGGGTTTAGGGTTTGGGGTGTAGGGTTTAGGGTTTAGTGTTCAGAGATTCGGTGGGGAGTTATCTCGATGCTGCCCCAAAGCCCTAAACTCAAGACTCATACAAGACCTCCCAAAGCCCGAAGCCTAACCCCTAAACGCTAACCCCTAAACCCTAACCCCTGAACCCTAAACCCTGAACGCTAGCCCCTAAGCCCCAACTCCTAAACCCTAACCCCAAAACCCAAAACCGAAAGCCCTAAACCTGCAATCCCCTTCAGATAGGGGCTGGAACAATTGGAATAGGATTTTGGGGGCCTCATTATACTATAGTAATAATAAGGAACCCACAAAATAATTTCGGTGATTTCTTACGCCCCTACATTCGAAACCCCCAGGCGATGTCCGGAACCTGGGTCTGTCCCTGAGGCCGCCCAGAAACTTCCCTGAGCTTAGGCTTCATCCTGTGGTTCTCCGGAACACGGTTTAGGGTTTAGGGTTTAGGGGTTTAGGGTTTAGGGGTTTAGGGGTTTAGGTGTTAAGGGGTTTAGGGTTGAAATCCATTTCCCAGACCCTCCACGATCCTGGATCCTATATAGTTGTAAAGGCTATATCCTGGAATTAAGAGGAGGTCATATCTACCGGTTTTGGGGGTTTCTTAAACCTCAAAGCTCCACAGTCTACACCCCGAAGCCACCCTAAACCCTGAACCCCT